TTTTACCATACATTTTACTAGCAAAATGTATACTAATTGTAAGTACAATTGCTAACAAAATGTATGTTAGAATTTCAAAAAAACTCATAAAATTCTTCGAAATGTTATGTTGTCTCACGATTACACGATCTTCAGGATAAATTTCAAGACAAAATTCTCTCTATGTAGGAAACGCTTTTAACAGTCAAGTTGGATCTTAATTAGTGTTTAATTTTATCTTTATTCTATCACATTAAGATCCCACTTGACTAAAGACGTTTCTATTACTATTTGTAAATATGAAATGACTAGATGTAAAAAAGACAAACGGATCAATTCTGAGTATGTTTTGAGAGTTGCTGGATATTAAAATTCTTTTGAAGCAAAATACATTTGAAATAAGTGGGTAAGTAACTAAGGACTCTCGATGATGAAATTAACAATTAAAGTAAACGGTTAACAGTATGTAAGTTGACGTCAGAACAACTTTTAATTACTGATAAGATATATGTATAATTACGAATCGTACGTTTCCACTCTGCCTTGAGCCACCATCAGCGATCGCTTCGAATTATAATTACATATCTTATTAGTAATTAAAAATCGTTATGACGCTGACTTCCGCACTGTTAATCGCATTGTACTCTCAAGGCCTACCTTTTACTATAATTTCATAAATTTTATTATCGAAAATCCTCAGTTATTCATTCACTTGTTCAAAGCGTATTTCGCTTAAAAGGAGTTTTAACCCTTGGAAAAATTTACTTTAAATTAAAGTTTTTAAGTAATCTTTCAAATCTCTCTCTAAGAGTTTACGTAAAGAAGTTAAAAGTTCACTTAAGAAATTTTAGAGTAATTTTGGACAACAAAATTGAGTGACGCTTATTGTCGCCAGTGGTAATGAAACAAAGGGACAATTTTTTTGAAAGTCGACCAGACTTGCAAAAAATGATCTCTGTTTAAGTCACAACGTTTCGACCTCTTTATCGGATCATTTTCAAGTACAATCTAATGTTGACTAAAAAAATTAATTTATGCCAAAACAGAATGAGTTCATAAATCTGTGGCAGCAAATTCATAATATCATATATCTCGGTAGTCAATGGATATTTAATAGCGATGTCAATTTCTAAAATTTCCAAGCAGCAACCGTACGTTTGTGGATCTCGAATAAAACTATAAAATTGACATCGCTATTAAAAATCCACTGACTACCGAGACATATATGATATTATAAATTTGCTGTCACAGACTCATAAACTTATTCTGTTTCGGCATAAATTAATTTTTTCAGCTAACATTAGATTGTACTTTAAAAAGACAAAAGATAAAGAGATCAAAACGTGACTTAAATAAAGATCTTTTGTGCCAGTCTGGTGGACTTTAAAAAAAATGTTCCCTTTGTTTAATTTGGGACACTTAAAGTAATTTTTAGATAGCCAAGCCTGTCGAAGTTCCCGCCAGGTGGCCGCGCGGCATAGCACTTTCTCGTAAGAAGAAAACCGCACGCGGAATTATAAATTATACCACATACTTTTCACAATTTTCAAAGTTTTCTTTTAAATTCTGAAAGTAAGTTTGAAGTTTATAAATAAAAATGTTAAGTGTCTCCAAATTTACTTTTCACATTTCTTATTTTCCTAAAGTAAACTTTTAAGGTTTCCCCGAGCTATATTTTTCCCAAGGGAATATCCGACACTCAAATGCCGCGCGATATATTTAATAGCCAACGGTAATCGCGACGCGAACGAAATGGAGTTCAGACATTCCCCGGAGCGAAACAGCCCCGTGACAATCAACCGAAGATCGTTACCGCGCGTGTTTGTCGCTGTGTCGCGTGAAAAAAGTGACGTGCAAACATATGTCGGATCGCGGCGAACGTGTCCCCGCGACTCGTACGAGCCGAGCATCTCGGTCTCCGAACGGAACCGTGTAATTTCAAGTCCGTTAACCAAATCGTATCCGCGAACCAAACAACCGCACAGGTGTGTTATCCGTTTCACTTTACTACTTCGCTGCCGCTTTATGCGGCGGATACCGGTAGCAAGGTAAATATCGTTCCCTCGGGGGGGAAAAATGACGAAAAAAAAAGCGGAAGAAGTAAAGGAAAACACAGCTCGGCGCACTCCGTCTCGGAACAGCCAAGTGCGCTCGGATAACGATAATCCGTCGTTTCACATCGTTAAGGACTGCGCGCGTACGGCCGCGCCGCGCTGCGCTCCGCTCTGCTCTCCGCTCTGCTCCGCGCGCGAATCCCAGCTAATTGTGAATAATATAATTAGACGGGATTCCCATGGTTTCCCTTTTGTGTGGGATCGACGGCGTGGCGGAACGAGCGAGCGGCACGACGAGACGACGATTCATCGCGGGCGCGAGGACGGAGGAATCCGAGCGCCGGCGACGAGCGACGGTCGCGATTGAAATAACAGCTCGTGTGAAATTCGGAATCATGTCAGCTGGGGGGACATGTAATCGTGATGTAATTCTTATAAAGTGTGCTACCGCGCGAGTCGCACCGCTACACCTGTTCGCGGCGCCGACGCGCGCGGTTGCATCGTCGCCTGATGGCTCTGGGATTTAAATCCGGCTGTCCGGAAGTTACCCGCTTCATTTCTTCCCTCGCGCGTTCCCGGCAGTTTCCGAACTAATTTTGGACTCGGTAATATTTGAATTTAGAGTGCCTTCGACTGTACAACAACGCCATTCGATATCGGCGCCGATAATATTGCGCTAATCTGATAATTTTTCGTATCTAACGATTGACTCACATTATTGTTTATTTTCTCCGCGTGCAACTTCCTCTATTAAACGCACGATTCCGAGATCCTCCGTTCGTTCGACTTAGAATTAGAGTAATGCTTATTGTTTAACTTATTGACTGGTAGTTTATTCATATCAATAGTCATTTGATAATATATCGTATGTTAAATGAGACGCGGAGGAAATGTTTAAATGTACGCGTTGTCGGTTCTTTCAAATTTAATACGTGGAAAAGGGGAATTTTTGCTGTAGGGGTCACGGAATTAGACAGTAACGTTAAGAAAAATCGTACATAATCATCTTACGTCAAATAACGAGACATGGAATTCTTTAAGTACGTCAAAAGAATGCGGCTGTAGCATAATTATATAACGCACTCAGAACTTTCTTAGTAATATTTTCTCTTTCCCCATAGGAATGCGATTACTTTTACGTAATCTCTAATATAAAAGGGTCAAGCATTTCAGCGTCAAATAAATTAGTTAATTCATTAGTTAGGTCCGGTTTTTCATTTTCTGGTTAACTGTAGACCCTAGTGGCACGACATATTGGCGCAATATTGGGAAATAATGCAAATCTAGTGTTCCCAATGTTCGTCCAATATTGTAAGATGGACGCCTTCTCTTATTTAGCCAATATGTCTATTCGGAAATATTGTATCAATTTTAGGTCAATATTCTTATTACATTGTTAAATATTGGCCAA